TGAGCATTATTTATGAATAATTATCTGTATAAACTAGTATTTATTTAATATTTAAGCAGAAATTAGAGAATTATCTCACTCAACTCGCCTCTATATAACCGAATTTTATCTTTTGTGTATAAAATTTTATTTCTTTCATAAGCATGCAATTTTTATGTTAAATTAGGACCCTAGTAGCTTTAAGAATACAATACCCGGTATATATTAAGGTGTATATAATTTTCAATTACAAATTTATTGAACAATATACCAACAATTTCTATATTATACTTCAATATAGTTTTTTTAATTTCATTATATTTTCATTAAAAATTGTAAAAATTAAATATCCTTTTATAAGAATATTTTGATTTTAAACCAGTAATTGAAAAATCCCTACACTTTTTTAAGACTAAAAAATTAAACGAAAAATAAAGCAATACTATCGAGATTTAAATAAATTCTATATAACACTTTGTATATTAATTTTCTTAAAAAATCTTACTTAAAAGCAAGTAGGTGAAAGAGAGAACATGAAAAAGGATATTATTTTTATTCATTTAATATCACAACTTGTTGAATTTTTTTCTCAATGTAAGAGAGCTAGCTGTTTGCAACTTCTATATTCAGTAGAAATTCATCTACTGTAATGTTAAAATAGAATATTAAAGTTAAAAGTTAAAAAAATTTAGATTTTTCATTTGAAATCTACTTTGTTCTAGATTATATTTAGATATGTATAATAATGCAATCTATATAAAATGAATTCTATATATTCACAAAACTACATACTACTTTCATAATATTCGTAAGTATATAATATATAAATAACATGATAATATTTAAAATATACATGGGATATAAAAAACTGTGAAAAAAAATCATTTAAAACTTATCAAATCAAATCATATATACATATAAATTCATATATGTACCATGGATAAAAATATATGTATATATAGTTTAATATGCAACAATTTATTATTCATATTATATAATACCTATTTATATAGTTTTGTTTAGAAAGGATAATAGAAAAAGTTGATTTTGTTAAAAATAACACACATGACAATCCTTTTCAATGTATTTATAATTCCATAGCTTTACACTTATATTTTTATTCCTCATATATTTATGTATATGGATTTAAGAATACATACATATATATATATACATATAGATATACAATTAATATTGTTAAGTTTCACTTAAATAAAAGTCTACCTATGTATGTTAGTAAGACTAAATGCATATAGAAGGTTGAGTTAAGTAAAACTATAAAAAAAAAACCAAAAAAAAAAAAAATTAAAATTATGTAAAATACCTTTATTAAGGGATTATAAAACTAAAAACCCAATTGTCAGTCAGTAGCATATTATGTCTAATGTATAGAGCTTTACACGAATGGAATAGCTAGTATATGCATATTATGTAGTTACGAGTATATAACATGAATATTTATAATGAATATTCTTCTATAAATATATAATATGTTAAAGTTAATAGAATTTTAATAGTGATTCATGTATAGCATTTTAAAATTTAGATAAGTTGTACATCATGTTATACTTAAAAAATTTAAAAAAATTTTTGCTTTTTGTACCTTTTTTTTAAAATCACGAAATTAATCGTACATAAAAAAATACATTTGAATCCCTGTTTTTAAAAGCGATGAAATAATTTTATTTAAAATATAATTGTTGGCATGAGAGGATTCAATAATTTTCATTATACTTGTATGTGATGGGTTTCTCCAAATTGTTATAACACATTAGAATATTTGAATAATTTGTAATTAATTTGCAGTACCGTACTAGTTACGTCTTTTTACAAGTTACATTTTTGCCTGTATATAACAGTTCTAAGCAACAATCCAAAATTCAAAAATATCCTTTTAAGGGGTGGCAAACGGATAATGCATAACTACTTATTTAGTGTCACAATTTTGAGGAAATGTTCTTCCTTTTTGCAAAAATAAACTGCTTGTACTACCATTTTCACGAAAATTTCCTATAACTTTAAATTTTTTCATAAAATATGGGAGTCTAGTTATTTTTCAAATGTGCAAATTTGATTGTCATCCAAATATTTAAATTCTGTTTTAATTTACAAAATATTTTAGTACTTTTCTACTCGTATAACATTTTCATGCATTTTATTCTGAAATATTTTGTTGTCTATTTTGTAATTCCTTCAAAAATGAACTGTTAAATAAGTTTTGATGAGCTTACACAATCACTCAAATTGATTTATTGAGCAAAATTTATTATACAAAAACTGAGATCCTTGAAAAATCAAAAACACCTTGTTTTTCATAATTTTATGTTTTTTTTTTTCAATTTTTCCATTTATTTTTGTTTTTAAATCAACTTTGGTACGCATACTTAATTAACATTCCTCATATACTTATTATATGCACATAGAAAACACGGTTGTTATTTACGGTTGCTATTTCTGTAGTATGAAATGCTACTAAGAGACGAAAAATTCACGAAAAAAAAAGAAAATATACAAAAAATTCAAAAAATAAAAAACTTTTCTCTGTTCTATCAGTTCAACTTTACATTTTTTTTTCCTCTTCACTGTTATACTAGAAAAATTTTTATTTTTTTTTTGTTTTTAAAATAAGAACCAGAAAATGTAAGAGAAAATATTTTTTGTTTTAAAAATCTTCTCCATTGTACTTGTTGTGTGCAGCATTCTATCTTCTAAATTCTCTCCCTTCACTTCGTTAAAGTAACCAAGTAAGCGGCTGGGATTTGACGTAAAAAGGATATTTTTGCACTAGTATTACTTTTACGGATAAAAACCAAAAAAAAAAAAAAACAAAAACAATTTAGCGCTTTAAATAACTAAAAGTAAAGTAGATCTTTTTTTTTTGTTTTTGTTTTTCTTTATTTTTTGTTTTGTTGTTTTTTTATAATACTGTAATCAAAATCGCAATGTTTACTTACTTATAACGTATGCTTGTTGCACTTTATTTTTAGTCTTTTAGAAAGAAAAAAAAAATCAAAAATAATAGAGAAGGAAAAAAAAATTCCCATGAAATTGCAAATAAGAATTATGTATGTGTGTGTGTGTGTATATTTCAATAAAGTAACTACCTATTCAGCCACCACACTTTATCGAATTATTTTTTAAAAACTTGTGTCAATTTTATTGATGCTATTAAAGAATGATTTTGTTGTGCTGCCAATTAATAATTAAGTAAACTTTCATACAATATAAATTTTATGTTTGATGTACGTCATATTGTACACAGTAAATTTTTTTCAACTAGATCCGAGTAAAATACAACTAGAGTTGCGCTCCTAGATTTTTCTAGTGAAAAAAAAATCAATAGATTGTCTAGTTTATTATTTCACTGATATTCTAGTAGATTTAATTAGAGTTGCCCTTGAAAAAGCTAGAGTTCTAGTTATCTGGACAACTACCTTTAATAGGAATCCGAAAAATATTTCTAGGAGAAAATGCTGAATAACTTTTTATTTTCCACTAGTATTTCATATAACTTAACTGTGTTTTCAATGAAGCACACTAGAATTAACAGTATTTTAAGTAACCAGTTTCTAGTGAAAAAAAACAGTACATTGATAAAAAACGCTGGAAAATCGGTTCAATTTTTTTGCGGTATTCTAGATAACTTAATTAGATTCCCTGTGAAAAATTACCAGAATTTCCATTATGAGAGTTACCTGATTTCGAGTGAAAACACACAGAGTTACAGTGATAAAAAAAACTAGAAAGCACATTAATTTTTTCTAGAACCACTTGCTTGTTTTACCTGACTTCCAATGATAAATGCTAGAATTCCCAACAATTTGAGAGACTACCTTCTAGTGAAAATAAGAGGATTACTAGAGAAATTAAGAAAATGCCTAGTGAAATAAGCAAGAAAATCTTTTAGATTTCTTACGGTATTCTTGGCAGTTTAACTAGATTTTCCATAATAAAGAATAGAATTTCCATAACAATAGTAATCACTTTCCAGTAAATGTCAATATATTACTATTGAATAAAACTAGACAACTATTTCATTTTTCATCATAGTTCTAGTTTTTTCAAATAGATTTCCTGAAGAGAAACTTTGGATTTCCAGTTTTTTAAATAACCTGTTTCTAGTAATTAGGAACAGATTTCTAATTAAAAAAGATGGTCAATTTCTATAGGATAATTATAGAAAATCTGTGAAATACATCTATCCTATGGCATTGGATAGATATATTAAGCAGATTTATATCCTACCTAACTACGGTTTGGCTAAACCAAAATTTTCGAAAATTCTAATGTTAAAACTTTTGTAGTTGTAATATTTCTAATTTCATAACAAATTTTTAAAGTTATTTTAGGAAACTCATCACAAAAAATTTCAAGCAATATAAATGACATTTTATAGAAAAATAACAATTTTTGTGTCTTACATAACAAATTATGGTTTTTATTTTTAACTTTTATAGCGTTTGACAAAATGTTTTATGATAATCTTCTTACGTTTTTTCATTTAAATTTAACATAGCAATATATTTTTTTAAATACATTTTTTTATTTTTGAAGTTGTGATATCAGTATTACATGTTGCACACTTAAGTTAATTCAAAAAATTAGAAATCAATGCTACGCATACGTGTATATCCTTTCATAAACAAACTGTTTTATTTAGTAGGATTATTTATAGAAAAAGAATATGAAACGTGCTACAGCACTTCTAAATTAAACCAATAATAAAAAATATATAATTATTTGGTCATAATACATTTTTAGTATTAGTATTCATATTTATCTACATACATAATCAGGTATAATATTCTTCAAAAAAGAAAAGAAATAATAAATAATTAACATTCCTACTTCTTAAAGATAAAATATGTATATGTATAAAGAGTGGTACATTTCTGTGTATTTGTTATAATATTATTATAAGGTGTATTTAAATGATTTGTCATCTATATCATTTTGCAACATTTACATACATAAAATTATAAAAATTTTATAATATAACCAAACACTAAATAACATTAATTTATAATTTTTTAATATAACACCGAAACAGTACCATTTTACATTTTTCATTTTGTATATATAAACTTCGAAAAAATTTAACAACTTCAAAATTTTTTTATCAAATTTTAAATTACAAGAAAAAGATAATGTTTACTGTAAGAAAATCGTTTGCGCACTCCATAAAGAAAGGTCAAAGCAGTTCTTATATCTCACATAAATTTCTAAAACGAGGGATATTAAATCTTCCTCTGCAACAAGTTTTTCCCAATCATCTAAATTTATCGCAATCAAAACATTAGTTTTTTTTTTCAAATTTCTTCTTGGCAGCAAGATTCTTAAAAAATTGAAAAATAATAAGTTAATTGAGTTTTTTAGCTAAATTTATATCGAAACTCACCATATTGGAGAAATTCTGTTTCCTTCCTATAAAATGGTTCTAAGTTAAGGTTTTCCAATACTTGAATGTTAAATCTTTTACCTTTTAAGAGCTCCAATCCATTTTCAATCTAGAAATTAAAAGCAACTTTTAAAAAGCACTCATAAATTAGTTTGCGATTTTTACAATTGTGCCCTTGTAGGAAAGAAATGTTAGGTAAGTATCCAATATGTTTAAATATCCAACTTCAAATCTACGATTTTAAAATGTCTCGTTCATTAAATATTTTATACGATTGAAGTTTTGTTCTGGAGGAATCAATGTTTTCAGTTTTGCAATCTAAATTTAAAATAAAAAAAAAAAATTACACGCATACATATAAACGTCGATTAGGGCGTACGTAAAATGACGCGGAAAAATTACAGTTAAAATAAAAAAAAGATAAAAAATAATTAATATTTTTTAAAAATAATATTTTGCTTACTTCTCAAAATTTCTGCAACATCCTTATTAATACCTTTTTTCACCAAATAGACAAAAGAAGCCCCAACGTCCATATTTTGAGAATTACAAACCTTAAAATTACAAAAAATAAAATATTTATGCTTTATGCTGATAAACAGCATGCATATACTCGTATGTATGTATTTATATATTATGCTTTGATGTATATACATACATATGTATATGAACATATGTACCTCTAAAATATTTTTTTTAATTTTTGTAACAATTTTCTTTATTTCTTTTGAAATTGTTTACATTGTTTTATAATTTATTTGCACTTGTTTTAATTTGTTTGCACTATTTTTTAATTTTTTTGCGTTATTTTTATTGTTGCTAATTTTTGATTTACATTAACTGCAACTAACTAAACTCACAATTAAAGTTCACTCTTCGAAGTTCCGTTCAATACTGCCACGTTATTCAATATTTTTTAAAAATCTCGCCGATTTTGCTGAAATTTCAACTGAAATCATGTGTATTTTACTATTTCTCATTTAATTATGCTAGAACCTCCTAAAAAATATTAAAATTTGCAAGAAGTCTATTGATATTTACTATTTTTTAGAAAATATTACTAGATTTGTAGTTTAAATATACATGTATGTATATGTTAAGTTTATATTTATGCTAATATTAGTATGCTGTATACGTTTAAATAATATTAAGGCGCAAAAAAAACTTGGTGGTGCAAGGAGTAATGCAACAAATAAAATCCAAAGAATTATTATATACATTATTAAGCAAAATAAATTGAAAATTTCTTTAGATTTAAGAAAATATTAAATAACAAAGGAGTAAAATTGAGAAACCTTTCTGAAAATAAATATTTAAGAAAAATCTTTTGAACATTGCTTAATGAAAATACCTGGGATTTAATAAATGGTTAAAAAAAATTTGCAACTCATTTGGCATAAAAATGTTAACAAAAATATGAAGCTTTGTATATTTATAAATTTTAAAAGGAAAAGATTTGAAAAAAATCAAATGTTCTTCTTTAGACGCTTTATTGCGTTATTCTTTTCACCATCAAACTTTTTTTATTTGGTATACATACATATGTATGTACGTCTGGACTTAAAAAAAAATGAAACGAAAATCAAAAAAATTTTACTTTTCTGTTCATTGTTTTTTTAGCATGTTCTTAAATAACTGTAAAATTTAAACCAAATATTTTAAATACAATATACAGAACTATGTATGTATGTATATGTACAAATTTTATACATTTTGTTGAATTTTGATTTCATGGCTACCTAATTATTGTAATAATGTAGAATTGTATATGTACATTTTATGCGCGTATTGTTTATGTGAAAAATATTTCAACATGCTGTTACATGTTGCGCAAAGTGTGACCATATCACGATAATAGTATATTATTTGTTAATCTATTATTAAAATATTAATAGCATATTTTTTTGCAAATCTAAGTTAATAATTACTGGCCCAACTATTTTATTATATGAATTTATGTTTTTATATCTGGAATATGTACCATAAAACTAAAATAATAAACATATTCTAAGCATTTTTCTTTTTAAAAATTGCCAAAAATATCTTATTTAAATTAGTGGGTAACAATTGTGCTTGTTCACTTAGCTTTGCTAAAAGCTAAATATTGTACATTTTTAAATTTGTACAAATATATGTAAATGCACCGAAGTATGAGGGAATAAATAATAAGTATAAATGCACTGAAGTTGATATTCAATTAAATATTATAATAAGATTTCAAAAAAATTTTTTATTATATTATGTTTAAATTTTTGAATTACTTATGTATATAAAGTGTATAAATTTTTATGTATACATGCATAAGTAAAATATACATAAAAATGCATTACATACACATACTATTAACTAAAAGTTTATGTACATAAATCAAATTTGAAAATTTAAATCTTTTGTAATGTTGAAATTTTTAGTTTTCCATGTAAAATTTATAATTTAAAAAATGTACACGTGGTCACACTTTTAAAAAAGCGTAAAGCCATACGTAAACAAATGTAGAAATAGAATAATTAGAATAGTGTGACCACATTTCATTGGTTTTGGAAAGTTAAAATGAAAAGTAGCTGTAATAGTAATGCCAAAAATTTCAAATTTTCATATACATACATAAGTATATTTTCTTAGTTTTCTTAGTTAGACTTATATAGTTATCATTTATAATATCACAAATATTATGTATTTATATACGTTCATATGTACGTCCATATCGTGTTCAAAATATAACAAGTCCTCAGTCCTTATGAAGCTTCGACTAATAATCCCCCAATCTATTAACCTGTTTTTGTGATTTAATATTACATTCTTCTCAAAATTTCTTAAAACTATAATCTTCATATTTAAACTTTTTTTGCAATAATGTAATGAAGCAAGAAATAATTTAAATGTAATGTTAAGACTTGTTGAATTTTCAGAAAAGTCATAGATTTTATACTAAATTCTATTTTACTAAATTTTGACGGATTTACTAGTTTGAATCCTTTATTTGACTTTAAAAAACATAGTAAGACAAAAAGGGTTTCGATGTTCATTTTAAGTTACTATTTATAGTAATATGTATTTGAACGAAGAAAGTATTAATTATGAATAAAGTATGAATTATTATGTTTAAGAAATAGTTCTATAGCTATTTCACAATAGTAATAACAGATTTTTTTTTACAAATGTCAGTTTTTACGAAACGCAAAATTGAATCATATGTGTAGCAATTTTTGACAAAGTTATCTTTTTTGTACAAAGCCGCGATTTTTAGCAAAATATTGAAAACAAAACCAAAAGACGTACAAAAATCAAAAAAGGACAGAGGAAATTGCAATGTAATTTAAAATAATTTTGTTGTTGCATGCATATTTCTAAGTACTATCAAATTTTAATTCTAATTAATGTGTATTATTCTATTTATAATTTTATCAAAACAATTTATTTTACCCAATGAGCTTATAACTTTCGCTAAAAGTTAGCTCATTGGGTCAATTACAAGGCAAAGTTTAAAAAACCACGTGTTATTTTTTTCGATGCTGCATGGTTTCTTTGTATGCGTAATATATAGTATATAGTTCGGTTTGTTTTGTTTAGATTCCTTTTAAATTTACTAGATCTCCGGACAACCGCTAAAAAATCGAAAGCACGAAACCGAACTCCGTCTTTTTCTTCCAGATTCGACTAAAATTCTCTAGATGTCAAGCTATCCTGTCCGTGGATGGAGTCTATTATTATTCTGTTTATTCCATTTAATTTTGCTAGACGTCTCACATGCTTTAAGAGCATTAGTGGAATCTATTTATCTTTGTAGTTTTCTAGCAAAAATTACTAGTATATTCTATTCCCCGTTTCTGAAAACATGTCAACTCGAAAGTGTAAATCCAAATTCTGTATTTTTAGCCCAGATTCTCCCTCAAAGCTCCCTAGATTCCTAGTTATTCTGTACGTGAATGGAATCTATTATTTTTCTCTTTATTCTATTTAATTTTGCTAGACATCTCACATGCTTCAAATGCATTAATGGAATCTATTGATTTTCACAGTTTTCCAGTAAAAATTAATTCTATTCTATTTCGCATTTTTGCAAAATTGCAAACTGGAAAGTATAAAATCGGATTCCGTTCTTTTCACCTAGATTCGTTTAAAACTCCCTAGATTTCTAGTTATTCTGTACGTAAATGGAATCTATTATTTTTCTCTTTATTCTGATTAATTTTACTAGCCATCTGACATGCTTCAAATGCATTAATGGAATCTATTGATTTTCATAGTTTTCCAGTAAAAATTGCTTCTATTCTATTTCGCATTTTTGTAAAATTGCAAACTGGAAATTATAAAATCGGATTCCGTTCTTTTCGCCCAGATTCGTCCAAAACTCCCTAGATTTCTAGTTATTCTGTACGTAAATGGAATCTATTATTTTTCTCTTTATTCTATTTAATTTTTCTAGACGTCTAACATGCTTCAAATGCATTAATGGAATCTATTTATTTATAGAGTTTTCAAGTAAAAATTACTTCTATTCTATTTCCTGTTTTTCTATATTACTAGACAGTAATTGTTGTTTACCAGAATTCTATGGCAAAATAAATTTCCTAGAGCATCTAGTTGTAAAATACTAGATTTCTAATTCAAAAAATTGAAATTGCAAGAAAACTAATTAATTTTCCTTGAATTCACGTGAATTTCGTCACTAGAATTTGTCTAGTTGGAATTCACTCGCTAAAATTTTTACAGTGTATGATATACATATTGTATGATTAGTAGTTATACACAATATTGCGTATTATGATGAATGGTTATTGATAATAATGATTATTTTTTAGTTCAATATTACTTTTAGTTATTAAAGGCGATAAAAAGTCCAATTATGTGTAGTAGGTAGATGATAATATGACGAGGTTTGAATACGAGTAAAATTTTAATACACGTACAATAAAATTGGGTCAAAATAATGTTTTTTAAGGAAGTGTTTTTCCCTTCAAGAAGTAAAAATACTACTTGTAAAAGAAGTCTACTACGTTATTTATGTTAGTTTCATTATGTACCAAATTATATATCAAATTATACATATGTATTTTCTGCGTTTACAGAATTTTAAAAATGTTTGTGATTTCGTTACAATAAATATTCAAAAATGACATTTTTAGGACTTTGAGCGGCTACAACTGTTAAGCGAGGAAATACGGAAAAATTTTCTTCTAGGGAAATAAGTGTCTAGTAAATATTGGTCCTCATGTACAAAATTTCGGCTTTCTGTTCTGTTTGTTCAAAGGATGTTGTTTTGTAAACAGACGTACGAACGGACTTTCGAACGGACAGAGTGAAACTAATAAGTACTTTTCTTCAAAAATTTTTTTTGGAATAAATTTTGCTCATAAAAAAATGATTGAACAGAAATTTGTGTACCACTGTGAGTTTGATTTATTTTAGACTAAAGTTACAGAACTAAAGGAACATGTGCAAATGGTAATGTATATGCATTTGAGAAGCTATGGTAGTCATTGAAAAAATAGATAGATAGAAAATGATTGCCATCAAAAATGAAATGATGAAAAAAATTTTTATTGGAAGAAAAACCAAAATTTTCTCAATATTTTTTATTTTTGTTTTTCTGAGGTTTTAATTTCTTCTTTTTTTTTTTTTACTGTGTTTTTCTGATCTAAAAACATCCTTGAAGTTTCTTTACCGAAATTACCTTCAAACAAAAAAAAAAAACAGAAAATAAAAGTAAAGGAAAATTTAAGATTTTTTTTTTCCTAAGCTGAAAATTGACAAAATTTTCACCGCATTTTGGGTTTTTTTTTTTAATCATTATTTGAGGTTTTTCGATTTTTGTTAAAAAATTGCGGTTTTTTTTTTTTGTACATAAAAAATAAACTGATAAAATTGCCGCATGCTTGTTAAACAATATTTTTCGATTACAATTAAAAAATGTCAAAAATTTGTCCTTTTTCTCTTTTTTTGTATATTTTGCAGTTTATTTTCCATGAATGTACTATATTATA